CCCCCTTCTGCCTATCTGCATCTTCAGGCTTTCTTAGTCGGACGTTGGTCCCGGGCCGGGATTCAAGGTCCTTGTCCAGGACATCCCAAGCCCTAGGCCTTGTAGGGGAGGAGTCTCCCCTCGCACAGAGCCTATTTACCTTGGCCGGCGGGACACTCCACATGAAAGGCGAAAATGTCGCGAGGGCCGAACGACATGTCCTTCAGCCGTTCAATATCGTGAGGGGTAACCCCTCGCAATGTGTTCCTTCAGCCATTCAATATCGCGGGACCGGAGTCACGGTTACCATATATGATTGGCATCAGTGGTTGGTACATGACTGGCCTGCGGCCGTGCAACTTTATATTGGAGTCCTGCGCGCGGCGTTCCGCCGCCCCAGCATCTAAAAGTTATGGGATCGCCAGGCTCGTGCGTGGGCGCGGCGCTTGGGATTGTTGCAGGCCGCCGACACTACCCATAGAGGGGAAGGATGCCCCAGGGCCATGAGTCTTTTTGAAAGCCTGGGGGCCCTTGCCTTATTTCCCCTTCTTCGGCTCATGCGTGTTTTGTCCGCATGTTAGAGATTTTCTATGGTTGGACGTTGTAGTCCGTGGCAGCCGCTAAAGTCAAACCCCTTGACTTTCGCCCAGGCCCGGGAAGGACTCACCCCTAGGGCCGCGAGAGACGACTACCACCACAGGCTTTGGGCCTGTGTACCACCCGCTCTGCACAAGGGTGCAGAAGAGGGTGTGTGGTCTTCAACCTCGCATGGCGGTTGTCTGGCGTCGAGAGATTAACCCTCTAGGCGCGTGTCAGCCGACACTTGAGTGTCGAATGCGACCCCCGATATTAACGAGGACCGCGTGAGTATAGGTACCACATAGTACGCCGTCATCGCGATTGCTTGCATACGCTTGCATTGCGAGTCAATATGAGTTAGCCCTGCGTCCGCGCAGTTTATATTAAGTCTTGCGCGCAGCTCCTATCCGATTCCTGCATCAGGGAGTTATGGGACGGCTACCGAGGGGCTAGGAGCGTTGTCGCGTTGTTCGTGTTGTGTCGCGTTGTACGTGCGTGTGTTTTATTTTTTGTGTTCGTACAGTGGCGTGCACTCGGTGTGTGGGATGCGTCCTAGTCGACCGACGTCGAGCTGCACTTGGGATTTCAGCCCCCCAAGATGTCGGCTCGCGTGCGGGACCGATAGGCGTATTACCGCGCGTACCCCCTATGCTACAGCGAACGAGAAACGCCCTCGGCTGGTCCACCTCTGCGATTGCAACTGGGTAGCTTTCGTATTGTGGACTGGTAGCTCGGCGGGGATACGCCCACCGATGGGAGGTGACAGCTCCCGTAAGGTGGAGGTAAGTCGTGCCTCGCGTAGGCCCTATCCTGTCGTAGGGGCTCGCGAGAGGTATGGCTGGCGCACTCGGCCGGAGCGGCCTAAGGAAGCTCCATTTGCGTGTTATGTCAAGGTTGATCCAACTCCTGCGTGACGCGGCCGAGAGGGTCCCGCGCCGCCGCGTGCGGCGCCAGACCGATGCGCTCGACAGCGGCGTCCTCCTTGACCTCTACTTCGTCCTCCTCCTCCACACCCTCTTCTTCTCCATCTTCCGCCTCCTCCTCCTTCTCCATCGTTGGGCCCTCCTCCTCCTCCTCCTCTTCTTCTTCTTCTTCCTCCTCGTCGTTGTCGTCGTCGTCCTCCTCCTCCTCCTCCTCCTCGCCCTCTTCCTCTTCGTCCTCCTCCTCCTCCGCCGCCGCCTCCACCGTCGGGGTCTCCTCCTCTCCTCGACGTTCTCCACCTCCTCCGCCGTCTCCACCGCCTCCTCCACTGTCGGGGCCTCCTCGTCCGCCTCCGCCGCCTCCTCCTCCTCCACCGTCGGGGCCTCCTCCTCCGCCTCCTCCTCCTCCTTCGCCTCCTCCTCGTCGATGTTCTCCGACATCTCGGCACCGATCCGGTGGCCGCCTCCTTGACATTTTTTTTTTTTTTTTTTGGTTATTGTTGTTGTTGTTGTTGTTGTTGTTGTTGTTGTTGTTGCTGCTGTTGTTGTTGTCTTTCGTCCGATCAATCAATCAATCAATCAATCAATCAATCAATCAATCAATCAATCAATCAATCAATCAATCAATCAATCAATCAATCAAACGATCGATCGAGGATCCTGCCTCACTTCTTTTACGGAAGTGGCAGCCTCCTGGATGCGGCGTGGGGCCTGGCTGGAAGCTTCCAATAGCTTCCGGTTGGGCCTCAAACCCTGCGCCTTGGCCCGAGACTACCGTTGAGGGTCTGGGCCCTTTTCAGTTGGGCACGGCCTGAGTCTCCGGACTTGGGCTGTTTGCTGCATCTGTGCAGGGCTCCCAGGCAGGTGTGTAGGCAGTACTGCTTTTCCAAAGGCCGATGGCCTGCTTCCCAATGTATCGACCCTACGTTGTGTGTATGTGCCCAGGCGCAATCGTCAAGGCCGGGGCCAACTGTATGACGCAGCTTAGTGAGGCTCACGCGTCTACCCAACCAACTGGCGTGTTTCGAGAGCCTAGATACCCACATATGGAAATGTCGAATTTTGGCCTCTGACGAATATTCAAGCCCGCCTTCACTTAAGGCGGGCATTTGGCTTGTTGGGGGCCTTAGCCCAGAACATGTGATGTCTGATAGGGCCCCTTGAGGGCTTGTTCCTCACATTCCATCCCCCTTAGCTTCGAAAGTCCGCTGAGATGCTTCATGCTGGTGCCTTCCCCTTCAGTTTCTTCTCATAATCTGCCACGATCTGAGGAGCTGTCTTGACAAGTTTCTCCCTTGAAATCCATCGATCTTCCTTAGGATCAGTATGATGCCTGAAATGTACTTTGTATTCCCTTGCAGGTTTAGGAGGTATTCCCATCGTTTGATTCGATAGGATCTTGATATGTCAAGACCCTATTGAATCAATCGATTTGATGGGATCCTTGATCGATAGTTTGATTGACTGATTGATTGATTGATTGATTGATCAGACCAGTGACAAGAAAAGGAAAAAAAAAAGGGTGGAGGAGGGGGAGGAGGAGGAGGAAGAAGAAGAGGGCGAGGAGGAGGAGGAAGAGTAAGAGGAGAAGGATGACAAGGAGGAGTATGAGGATGATGAAGAAAAAGGAGGAGGAAGAAGAGGTGGAGGAACAGGAGACTGCGGCAACGGAGGAGGAGGAGGGAGAGAAGGAGGAAGAAGAAGACGAAGAGGAGGAGAAGCAAGAAGAACAGGAGGAGGAGAATGCCGATGCGCAGAAGGAAGAGGAGTACGAAAGGGACGATGAGAAGGAGGCCACGGCGATGGAAGAGGTGGAGGAAGAGGACTTAGCGGATGAAGAAGAAGAAGATGAGGAGAGGGGGAGGAGGAGGAGGAGGAGGAGGAAGAAGAGGAGGAGGAAGAAGAGGAGGAGGAAGAAGAGGAGGAAGAGGAAGAGGAGGGGGAGGAGGAAGAGGAGGAGGAGGAGGAGGAGGAGGAGGAGGAGGAGGAGGAAAAAGAGGAGGAAGAGGAGGAGGAGGAAAACGAGGAGGAGGCAGGCCCGACCAAGGCCGCAAGGCCTATTTTCAGGCTTCCACGCAACTGGGGAAAATTCACGCAGTTGCTCAGCGCCAGTTGGTTGAGAGCGTCTAGGCCCTGACTTCCTTTTTCGTATGCAACTAAGGCAGACCCAGGGCCAGATACACTACATGGGCCGAACCCAGGCTGCGGGCAGTTGGGCACAAGCAACCGTCACAGGCCCTAGGCCTGATTCATTAGGACCGGGGCTCACCCTCTCGAGTCCTACCGCAAGCTTCTGGACCAAGGCCCAATACAACCTGACTGCACGCAGCTAGCAGGGCACTTCCATCTAGGAAAGGCCCTGCCCCCCATTCGGCATTCGGGCACTGGCTGCATGTTGCGCAAGCACTGCTACACTACACGTTGGCCAGGCTCACGTGCTCACGGTCGAGCCGAGAGAGAAGCGGGCAGCCATAGCCGAGTTGTGCTGCATAGCTGAATGAGGCGCATGGTGGTCCTTGGATGCATGTGGCATCTATGAGTAGGGGATCGAGGTTGTGAGTGATACGAGAGACATACCTGGTGCTTGAGGCGAACGGCATTGGCTGAGATCTGCTCGTACGTCGGGGAGCTATTGACGTCACCAGCGGCATTGTAGATAGGCTAGATAGGATCTGCCATTTGTAGTTTGGGCGCAGAGCGCCAGATAGGACGTCGACATTGGTTCTTTGTTGTTGATGATGAGATTATTCGAACATTGTCACTTATGAGCTTTTGTTGTGCTCTTATTTGGTGGGAACTCGTGTTGCAATTCTGCTTTGGTTCGAGGTCACGGCCATGTGGTCTCATGTGTATGATGCTGCTTGGTTTCTGAAGTTCACTATCGCTCATTTTCCTTGCAATTTGGTATCAGAGTTGTGGTATGGTGCGCTAATCTGGCGCTTGTCGTCTGCCTATGCGGTACATGCATGCGGTCTGCTGAGCGAGCGGTCGTACGAAGTGTGTAGTGAGGAGGGCGAAGGCAAGAAGGGTGACCCAGGAGGTGAGGGGGCTCGCCAGGAAGGCTACATGGTGAATGTTGGGTGTCCGCAGTGTGATGCTATCTGATGTGCGATTGATGTTGAGGTGGAACGCCGGTGTAATGCTGGTTGTGCCGACGCAATGATTGGTCATCACAGTCGGCATCAGGTCATCTGGTGAGAATATATGTGGTTGGGGGCAGCTATTTTGAGGTACGTTGCACCTAACCTTATCTACCCTCTTCGACACTTCTTACCGTGAGGATGTGTGTTATGTCTTGAGAGTCCTCTCATGCGAGGAGTCGAGTGCGCTCAACCTTGAGAGTCGACATTGTTCACGTGGAGCGTATAGAAGGAGAGGGCGGAGCTATTTGAAGGGCCTTGGACGAAGCACTGGGTCAAGGTCACCATGCCAACCCACCGGGAGTAGAGCACACATGCTTTGCTGCTTTGTCATTTGTCTGCTTGTTGCACTGATAGATGGGTTATGAGGGGTAGGCCAGCCCTACCGGGGAGAAGAGAACCGGGCATCTATAAATAAACACCGGCGGGGTACCTTCCATTAGCTGTGATCGTCGTCCTGCCTGCGACGTTAAAGAATTCTTGAGGACTGCGGGGGCCGTTCTTAAACGCCTCTTGATCAGCCAATCGGTCGGTGTAAGGCTCGCTGCACGCGAGAATAAATAATGTGCAGGTCTGGCCAGCTCATTATACACTCCGGGTACAGGGGCGGGCTGTGTGCACACCTTTAGACACGCACGCTGTTCTGGATTGCTCAGGGACGCTGACGTCAAGTGACCATCAAGATGAATTGAGGGAGGGGTAGATTTCAGGTGATAAGTTCGTGTTTCAATTCCACTCTGCAAATATCCACACGACGATCCTATTTTTATTCTTGATTAGTTAGATGGACTGCCATTGACATCTGACAGACAGCATTAGGTAGATCTGCTGTCTGTTCGTGGACTAATTAAGTAAAAATAGTTTCGTTTGTAGGAATCTGAACTTACCTGTTGACCCGAATGTGTAGACTCTGACATAGCCACCAATTATTTATTTAATTATTTTTAAATTGGTTTGGGCATACGCTGCGGTAGGCATTTATTCTAACCTGGTGCAGGTTGTGTCCAGTTCTGTAGCTTATGAGCGACAGGGAGGAAACTAGAGAGGACGATAAAATCCTGCAATCAGCGAGGCGCCCTATAGCCCACTTGGCATTAGGACAGAGGGCAACAGATTCCTGTTCCGCTAGCAGAGAGAGAGGCAGCAGCAGCACCAAAGAGCTAGGGCCGCAGAGGCAAGCAGGGCATTCGCAAGCGAGGCCGCTACTTCAACAGCCATGGCAGCTGCTGTGCAGCAAAGCTCTCAGACTAGTAGTTGAGGGACTGTAGAGTCAACGGTCGCACAAACCCTGAGTCAGTCCACTGGCGTCATGGCATGCCAGCCGTTAGTTCTGACTCCCGAAGAGATCGCCATACGACAAGCAGATGCTCAGGAGGCACAGCTACATAAGGCTTTAGGGGAGACAAAGGCAGAGAAAGAGAGAATGATTAGGAGAAGAGCAAGAATGCAGCGGAGGCAAGCGGACATTAGTGAGTTAGAGGAGATGGACCTGACGAACGTGGATGATGATGTGAGGACCTTGAGGACGGTCTTGCTAGATGTGGTAGAAATGTAGGATTACCAAATGGCGCTCTTACAGGACATCCAGCAGAGCCCGGCCGTGCTGGTTGGGCGAGCTCAGGTGACACCATCACCATCAAGGCCCGATGCCTGGCCCGTGGTACAACCTCCTCCTTTTGTCCCACCCATGACTGGGGTATCCCCATACATAGCTCCAGCATCGATACAGGCCGCTTCCCTAGGAATGCCTTTGACAGGAGGGTTCTCAACAGGTCCTAGTGTACAGATTCCTATACAGACAGTGTATTCCCAAACTCCGTCGCAGGTTGCCGTAACTAGGCCGCCTGCTGTCTCGCAGCCAGCACAACAGTTGGGCACACAGCCCCAACAACAGTTAGTGCAACAGCCTACGCCCCAGGGTCCACAGCCCGGAGTGGGGCAGGTACCGAGACAAAGTCAATGGGTTCCAAAGACGGCCATCACCTCACTCGAACCCTTTTCAGGGGACAAGAGGGGCGAAGATCTCGACATATGGTTGAGGTCAGTGTCGGTCTACGTTAAGTGCAAGTTGACCTTGGCACAGGAGGAAGTGTTTGTGGCTGCCTCCTACCTTGAGGGGAGTGCAGCAAGATGGTTGAGTGGGTTAGTGCAGCTATAGGGGTACGGACATGACTTCCTCGCTTGGGCGGTCAACCATAAACTTGAAGACTTTCTCAAGATGGTGGAAGACAGGTAACATGATCCTCAGGAGGCCCAAAAGGCCACTGATGCAATCCTGACTTTCAAAAAACAGACCGTTCAAGTCAGTGAGGGATGCCACAGACGCTGTAGAGCGTCTGATCTGTGTTCCTGGAGTACGCTATGACCCCCAAGTCTTACCGACAACTTACCTGAGGTGTCTTCCCATACCACTCAGGAACCAGTTGGCAGGAGAGGCTAACATCAATGTGCACAACTTCCCTTCATTTAGCAAGAAGGCCCTAGACCTGGATGCAAAGATAGGGCACGTGCACCAACCCACTAAGGACGGAAGGAAGAAAACGCTGCCTCCCAAGTGGAAGGCGAAGGGTTGCATTATGTTCGTTGACAATGGATCCACCATCGAGTTAGACAACGGCTTCCATGAGGGAGTAGGTGCAGAGGCGCGCAGCGTTGAGGCTTCAGGGGGTGGAGCAGGCGCTGCCTCAGTCCAAAAGGGCAAGCCGACCGGTAGACGTTGTGGAGGCTCCCGGTCTAGGAGTCAAGTTGACCGCAATGCTCCTCCATGGGAGAAAGCGGGTCTCGCAGAGGATGTGTGGAGAGACTGGTACACCCGGCAGGCTTGTATCCGTTGTGGCCAATATGGCCATAATCAGTTCAAGTGCCGTAATAAAAAGGTGACCGAAAAGATCCCTACAATAGGGCAGGTGATGGGATCCTCCGCTTTCGTGGGTAGCAATGTTGCCAGTAGTTCTGAAACTGCTCCGAGAAACACGTCGGGCCAATAGGAATGGTAGTTGTTGGTGCTAGGGTCGAGGTGGTGGACACACCCTCACCATCTCGAGAGATGGCCTAAGCTACTGACTCCAGTACTGTCCCGCAAACACATTCGGACCCAACGATCCTCTGTTCGTTGAATGTGTTTGAGTCCTTAGATGAGCTAGAGGAGAAGTGGTCTAGATCAGACCCGCTAGCTTCTTGGACGATTATGGCTAAAGCTCTTAAGTGTGAGTTATTCGTCGGCGAGATAGTCATCGGCGGCCGCAAGGCCAGGGCCTATTATGACACTTGCTCGACGCGAAACTTTATTAGTCGCGCTTGCGTTGAGAGGCTGCGCTCACAGGGGCAAGTGCAGCGCCTGAGTCGACATGTGGAGTCGACCTGTGCCAACAAACAGTGCATGGTAGTCAATGACTACCTTAAGGACGTTGAGTGTTGTTTCCCGTACGTGGGAGGGGAGCTGAGACATCGCGTCTCGTTCCTAGTCAGCGATATCTCCCAATGGACATCTTGTTGGGTATGTACTATCTTTCGCTTGCACAACCCCAGTTTGACTGGGACCGAAAATTGGTCAAACACACTTTGCCTGGTGGGGAGACCGCCAGATTACATAAGTTTAAGGCTAGTAGTCTGATTGAGTCTTATGAGTGCATGTGTGCGGCCGCGTTCTACAATTATTATCAGCAAAATGTGAAGGAGGGTATGTATCTAGTTTATGTCTCTGCAGCAGGTCAGCCAGTGAAAATGTCGTCGGAGATAGAGGGAGTAGTCGCTAAGTACCTTGATCTATTCGAAGAGTCGAAAGGGGTTGTTGAGAGGGAGGTCGTCCACGCGATAGAGATTATCCCAGGGTCTAGCATTCCGAAGGGTAGGATCTATTGGATGTCTCCAGGCGAGCTTGATGAGCTTTGTCGGCAACTCAAGGAACTCGTAGAGAAGGGTTGGATCCAACCGAGTGTCTCTCCTTACGGATCTCCAGTCCTATTTGTACCAAAGAAGGGGGGAACTTTGAGGATGTGCATTGACTACATGGGCCTCAATGCCATCACCGTCAAGAACAAAGAGCCCCTACCGCGCATCGATAACTTATTGGACCGAGTGCAAGGATGTCGGTACTTCTGTAAGATAGATCTGAAGTCCGGGTACCATCAGATTGCAATACGGCCTGAGGATCAACACAAAACCACTTTTCAGACCAGGTACAGTCTGTACGAGTTTGTGGTGATGCCTTCCGGCCTTTGCAATGCTCCTGGCACCTTTTTTTTTTTTTTAAAGGTTGTGCAGGTTGGAGACGGTCTTAGGCGGGACCTATATCACGGTCGCTGAGGGCAGCCGCGCCAGGAGGGCTTGGCGCGCCGAGCCTTCCTACGCTATCGGAGCGGGTACTACACTCGCCAAGCAAGACCCCCACTGGCGGTCCTGCCCCCAACGGTATCTTATGCCCCATCTACCCCCCACACCACCCATACACACACACACATACCCTCGAACCAGCTGAGACTCTCATAGATAGCTCACCACCTCACGTACCCTTGGAAGACGGGAAGGTTTCGATCAGAGTCAGTGCTCTCTGACCGCCTGCAACAACTGGAAGGGCACCCCCGAACTCAGATCATGCTAGCCCCGAGGACATCCTGGTCGGGAGGCCTCAATGCACCCAGTCACCCAGATCTCACTGTGGCACCTTTCAACACGCAATGAACCGGATCTTTCATGACTACCTGGATAAGTTTGTCATTGTGTACCTTGATGATATACTTATCTTCAGTAGGACTGTCGAGGAGCACACTGGTCATTTAGACAAAGTCCTTAGTCTCCTTCGGCAGCACAAGTTGAAGATCAACGACATGAAGTGCGAGTTTGGCCGCACCCGTATCTTGTACTTGGGTCATGAGATTTCCGCAGAGGGATTGAAGCCCGATGACGCGAAGGTGGCCAACATTCGTGATTGGCCGCGTCCTCAGTCTGTGACTGAGACGAGGTCCTTAGGGATGACCGGCTACTATCGCAATTTTGTGAAGAACTATAGCATAGTTGTCGCCCCTTTGACGGACCTGACTCGCCTTGACACACCGTGGGAGTGGATAGACAGGTGTGAGGCAGCCTTGAAACATATGAAGCATGCTTTGACGCACCATAAGGTCTTGAAACTTCCTGATCCTGACAAGTCGTTTATAGTAACCACGAACGCCAATCAATATGGCATAGACGTCGTGCTCGCGCAGCTGGAGGGGCCAAAGTTGAGGCCTATCGAGTACATGTCCAAAAAGATTCCCTCTCAGAAGTTGGCTAAGTCCACCTATGAGAAGGAGCTTTATGCAGTTTACAAAGCGCTAACCCACTGGAGACACTACCTCCTTGGGAGGTTCTTCTATGACAGGACTGATCATCAAACCCTGAAGTGGATGAGAACCCAGCCCGTGCTTTCTGATGCGCTGAAACCCTGGATTGAAGTCATTGAGCAGTATGACTTCGAGCCCCAATACATCAAAGGAGAGTACAACAAAGTTGTTGATGCGTTGTTGTGTAGGTCGGACTTTCTCTGTGCGCTGATGACTGAGTTTGGGTTTGCGGACGATGTTACTCGCTCTTTGGTGGAAGCCTATCACGAGGATCCGTTTATGGTTGAGATCATACGCAGACTAAAGGCGAAGGACAAAGCAACTTCAACCAAGTTTGAGTTGGTCAACGGCCTGTTGTTCCTTGAGAAGGTCGGGAATAAGCGTTTGTGTGTGCCTAATCGGGAGTCTTTGCGTAGTTTATTTTTAGGTGAGTACCATGATGCCACCAGACATTTTGGATATAAGAACACTCAGCCAATTTGCTGCAGCAGTTATGGTGGCCCACGATGATGAAAGATGCCAAGTTGTACGTGGAAACTTGTCAAGTGTGTCAGAGGGACAAGCCACATACGCAGGCCCCTCTTGGGCTTATTAAGCCCCTTCGGATTCCGGAAAGGCCCGGTGAGAGCTTGTCCATGGACTTCATGGACACGCTGGTCACAAGCAAGAGCGGAATGAGACAAATCTTTGCCATTGTGGATAGGTTTAGTAAGTATGCTAGATTAGTTGCAATGGCTGAAACAGCAAAGACCGAGTACGTCATTAGGCTGTTCAAGGAAAACTGGATCAGAGACTTTGGGCTTCCAAAGTCTATTATTAGTGACCGGGATGTAAGGCTGCAGCTGCAGAACAGGGTACACAGTCGCAGATCACCTCAGGGAAGCACCCAGAGGCAAACGGGCAAGCGGAGCAGCTGGATTGCGTTGTACAACACCTGTTGAGACACTACATCAAACCCAATCAGGTGGACTGGGATTGAGAAAGTTGCGCTCATCCCCAGTCGGTGCACAGCGCAACAGGGGTGAGCCCTAACAGTCTGCTGCTAACTTTTAAACCTAGACTGCCCTTAGATTTCTTATTACCTGAGAACCAACCTTCTGGTGCACCAGGCACCCTCGAGTTTGGATATCGATATGAGCGTGCGATGCAGCAAGCTATCGAACAGATGCACAGGGTGCAGGAGGCGATGATAGAGTCCGAAAACACACACCGCCGCCCATCTACATTTCAGGTAGGGGACAGAGTCTGGGTCAAGTCCTCAGAACTGGGACAAGAGCACGGGATATCCCGCAGACTCATGCCATATTACTTTGGACCCTGGGAGGTTCTAGATATCGTCAGGGATGATCCGGATGGGCCGTCATACGTAATTCAGCTCCCTGGTCACCTTCGCACTTACCAAGTCTTTCACGCCTCTAAGCTTGCACCTTTCGAAGAAACTGATCAGTTTCCCTCACGAGGCTCAATGCTGCCCCCAACCATGGATGGAGAGGTCGACATCGATGACATCGTCGATCACAGGGAAGTACCAGTTCCAAGACCTACAGGCACGGGACGTCCTCCGAAACCGAAGCTGCAGTATCGCGTTCGGTTCAGACATCACACTGATCCTAAGGAGGATAGATGGTTTACACGGGAGGAACCAATGCAGACCGCTCCACAGGTTGTCACCCACTATCAGAAGTTGTTGTAGAAAGGAAAGCGCCAGATTGACTAAAGGGAACTTCTCGGAGGACTATCGAAGTATGGAGGAGGGAATGCGAGGCATAAGGCCCCGATGAGCCCCTTCTGACCATTCAAGCAGCACAGTCGGCCGCCCTAAGTGAAGGCAGGCCCGACCAAGGTCACAAGGCCTATTTTCAGGCTACCATGCGACTGGAGAAAATTCAGGCAGTTGTGCGGCGCCAGTTGGTTGAGAGCGCCCAGACCCTGACTGCCTTTTCGTATGCAACTGAGGCAGGCCCTGGGCCAGATACACTATATGGGCCGAACCCAGGCTGCGGGCAGTTGGGCACAAGCAACCGTCACAGACCCTGGGCCTCATTCGTTAGGACCGGGGCTCAGCCTCTCGAGTCCTACCGGAAGCTTCTGGGCCGAGGCCCAGTACAGCCTGACTCCACGCAGCTAGCAGGGCACTTCCATTTAGGAAAGGCCCTGCCCCCACATTCGGCATTCGGGCACTGGCCGCATGTTGCGCAAGCGCTGCTGCACTACACGTTGGCCAGGCTCACACGCTCACGGTCGAGCCGAGAGAGAAGCAGGCAGCCATAGCCGAGTTGTGCTGCATAGCTGGATGAGGCGCATGGTGGTCCTTGGGTGCATGTGGCATCTATGAGTGGGGGATTGAGGTTGTGAGTGATACGAGAGACATACCTGGTGCTTGAGGCGAACGACATTGGCCGAGATCTGCTCGTACTTCGGGGAGCTATTGACGTCACCAGCGGCATTGTAGATAGGCTAGATAGGATCTGCCATTTGTAGTTTGGGCGCAAAGCGCCAGATAGGATGTCGACATTGGTTATTTGTTGATGATGATGAGACTATTCGAACATTGTCAGTTATGAGCTTTTGCTGTGCTCTTATTTGGTGGGAACTCGTGTTGCAATTCTGCTTTGGTTCGAGGTCACGACTATCTGGTCTCATGTGTATGATGCCGCTTGCTTTCTGAAGTTCGCTTTCGCTCATTTTCCTTGCACAAGCCTCAAAGGACGGAAAAAAAACATGTATTGCATGGGCCGAAAACAGATCATTTGAGGAGCTGAGCGTGGTAAGCCTTGAAGAACGGGAAAGAAACCTCGATTGCATGAGCCAAGAAGATTACTTGATGTACTACGGGTTACGAACGACACAAAAACAAAAACGGTTTTGATGTACGACAGTTGATGTACGACAGTTGATGTACGACAGTTGATGAACGACACAAAACCAAAGTGGTCTTAGTATACTACGGGTAATGAATGCCACAAAGTGGTTTTTTGATGAGATGTGGCCAGTAAATGAGACAAGACTTAGTAATTCATCCTCTCCTTCCCCAAGCCACGAAAAACTTAGGAGAGGTTACGAAACAAGACTGGAAACTCCCTAGCATACTAGCAACCAATCGCATCCCTCTCTCCCTTTGTTTGTCCATGATCATCCCACTCCTACTCACTTGCTCTCTAATGGCTAATAATTGACTAAAGCGAGATGAGGACATCGAGAATGAGTAGGGGGAAGATGACGGTACCTCTTGTTCTCGAATCAGTCCTGACACTTGAGACAGAATATATGACAAGAATGTGCATAGAAGACGAATCCAGGGAAAGAGCACGAGAGAAAATGGAAACACTAGATTGGCGGCTAGCGCAGGACTGTCGGAACCAAGGGCCCCAAGACAAGACTCAGGACCAGTGGGACACGAAAGCAAGCAGGAACGGTGGTAAAGAGGGCCGCAATGGCACAGAGACTTAGACCAGACAAAGGGATGAGCCAATAACGGAATGAGAAATGGTTTGAGAGGATTACAAAAAAAAACGGAGAAAAATGTTTTTCTCGTAATCCCGGGAAACAAAGAGAAGACGCGCAAAAATGATAAGAACAACTCCGTTCCGAAGGCAAAACGTGAAGAATGTCGTCGGGTATGACATATTAAAATACAAAAGCAACGGAGATCGATTGCCTAAGAAATTATTTTTTTTAAGCGACAAGGACTTGTGGACATGGCAAAGCGGGAAAAGCGGTTTTGGTGGCCTCACGACATGGGAAGAACATTACACGGGGAAAAAAACATCAAGTGATGCAGAAAACGTAATGATAAAAATGAGTAAGTTGAATGGACCACGACACGGGAATTTCATGCGAGGGTTGCCATTGCGGCGCCGGAACGACGACAAGGGGAGAAGGCTCAACTACGACAAGAATTGAATGGAAAATAGAAAATAATAATAATAAAATGGCTCCATTGGAAAGGGGAGGCCACAAGTGAGAATGGCACGAGAGTAGTGTGCCACAGCAAATGGGGCCGACGACACAGAGGAAAATGGTGTCATTATGTCGTCAAGAGTGGCCCTAGCCTATGGCCAGTGGCCAGCCAAAAGCAGCGAGGGAGAGACTTAGGTGCAGTGAGACTAGGAAATAAGGAATGGGAGGCTTGAGGGGTGCAGCAAACTGTGAGGGTACAACGAAACTGAAAAAGGGGTGGCCTAAAGAGTTCCAAAATAAACAAGGCTACAGTAGATGTGAAAAAGTCTCCAATTTAAAGCTTCTAGGCCTTAAAATTGAGAAGGGACTCAAGGGGGATGCAACGGACTACAAGGGCTTTAGTTTTGAAGAACCCAAGTGCAAAGAACCTGAAAAATGGGGTTCTAGTGTAGTCCGAGATAAAACGGCCAACAAAGGTGGAGAAAAAAGGGCATAGAGGGAGAATGAGAGAAGTAGGAGAGTGTGGGAGTGAAAAAGGGACAAGTTGCCTCATCATGTTCAACTTGTCTCCTCCCAAAAGAGGTCTAAGTGTGTAAAACAGACCTGCACCTAGATACTATTGGGACTGAAACGTTAAAAAACGAACACATGAAAGCCTAGGAAAACACATGTCTTAGATCCTTCTTGTGACCCGATTTATCCTGGGATGAATCGGCCACAAAGGCATAAGAATGAGAGGATTCAGGTGCAATGTATCTAAATCTAAAGCCCCGAGAAGCTGCCAGCTCACAAACGGACAAAAAAATGGTGATCTTGGGGAGAAGGAAACACATTTCTCGATACGTTTTGTGACTTGGTTCATGTTGGGATGAAACGGTTACAAAATATCTTTTTTCTTTTCTTTTGTCAAAATCATTACACTTTTGAAACAACAAGGCCGACCTCCTCACAATCTGGTCGGTACTGGGAACCTTACCCAACTTCGCTTTTGATGAGATCCCTGATGGAACCCGAGTTAGTGTATGTCCGTACCTACCATTGGTTGAATCATTGAGTTGTGTTATCAGAGCGGATGAGAAGGGTTCACTCGATGCTGATACTTATAATGGTTGACAACTTTGTTAGTCGAAATGAGGAATTGGGGGGGGGGTTGGTGACCGAGAGGATAGCTACAGACTAATCTAGTGCAGCTATAGAAATTCACAGACCTGCAGTCTGACCCCGGGCTAACATCGACCGAACTGAGCTTCTTGCTCCTAGAGGTGGTGAATTGACACTCTCTTATCCTCCCAACCGCCTGCAGCTTACAACAACTGCCTACAAGAACCGAATGCCCTGGTACGTCCGACTGAACAACTATCCAACTACGTCTATGCTAATCAGAAAACTATGGTGCCTAGTTCTATTTGGCCCTACTATAGGTAGGAGAGAATGTGATGAAGGTGCAGAGAAGGTGAAGTGGGAAGACTAAGACTTGGCAGCAGATGTAGAAGTGACCATGGGGAGGTTTTAGGGAGGGCAGGAGGAGAGGAGCGGAGGGGAGCTAGGGAGGGGGTGTGACCATTGTCAGGGCATAAATTAACTCGTGATCCAGGGTGCGATAGCCAGACGGCCAGAGGGGGTCATTGCAGCCATCTTGTTGTCCCTCGCCCACGTGACCAAAAACCAGTGCTTGGCCCTAGGTGTGTTACAAAATATCTTGGTTTTCCTTTATTTTCTCTAAGAAAATCAGTAAAAAATCAAAATGCTTTGTGACCATGATGGAACGGACCACAAAAAGTTAATCAAACTCGTGTTTCAAGTACATCCAGAGCCAATATTGAGTTCGGATGCACGTGGAAATGTGCTGCCCCATTTTGCTTTAGTTTGAGGCAAGTTTGCGGGCAATGAGGCTAGGAAAGAGGGCCTCATTGCACTCTGAAAATTAACGGACTGCAAGAGGGTGCATGGGCCAAGGAAAAATGGCCCTTGGCAAGCTCAAAATACATGGGGAAGTGCTCCAAGCACAAGGGAATAATTTGCGGTGATGATCGTGGACCACTAGATGAAGATCTAGTGGCCGAAAATATTCACCATGCTAATGACACATGAGAAGAAGGGAAAACGGGACTGTTGGGAACTAGGTAGTCCCAAATAAAACTGGGGCGTCAAGGAGGGGGCTGTCGGGAACTAGACAAGGTCAAATAAAAATAATCACTGTTTGAAAATCGGACAGGCGGGACCATAGGTGGGGCCAAGAGATGGGACTAGCATGAGAAAGTGGCGGGGACTTCAAATGTCCCAAGGGAAAATATGGGATGGTATGAGGATAACCAACGAAAGGGAGATGCACCATCGGATCAAAGATCTAACAGCTCAAAATATCAGCACCACTAATGCAAGCACTAGTGGGCTAAAGAATGTGGAATTTTTGAAAGGAGGGGGATAAATAAGGAAGGAGGGTCTAGTGTGCAGTCCGAGATATCCCGGACCAGCTAGGTAAGGGAAAGTAGAACCTTGAGTGGCTCTACTCGAGAAATGTGGCCAATATGGTCACATAAAGTCAAAGTGCAAGAACGCTAAGGTCTCAACAAAGGTGCAACCTGTAGTTGGGCATCAAGCACAATCGTCCCAGGGTAGTTCAACCAATACTTCCCAGGGAAATGCATCGATCCTGTGGAAGTAGTGACTGCTTGTACAAAGGCTGATTTGATTGGTGTTCCCTCACCTCCTTAGCAAACGGCTAAGGTCGCCGACCTCGATGTCACCCCGCAAACTCATCCGGACCACATGATGCTCTATTTACGGGATGTATTTGAGTCCTTTAAGGAGCTAGAGAAGGAATGGGTCAACAAGGACATGCTAGCATCCTGGGTGACTATAGCAGAATCTGGGAAGATGATTAGTTGATGTAGGAGGCCATAAAGTAAGAGCACTCACATATATTGATTCTCTGTGCAATTACTTTAGTCGTGCTTGTTTGGAGAGGCTGCATTTAGAGGATCGGGTGCAGCAACTTAGTAGACCTTTAGTATCTACACTAGCCAACAAGCAACCTGAGGGAATTCCAATCAACAATTATGTCAAAGATATAGTTTGTACCTTTTCGTATGCGGGAGGGCAAATGACACAAGATACATACTTGTCGTTCGATATGCTCTTAGGTATGTACTACCTTGAGGTTGCAAAACCCTAATTTGACTGGGACCGTAAGCAATTGACGTTTAAGCTGCCAAATGAGAGGACTGGCTATCTGAGAAAGTTTAGTTCTCAGAATGAGGCACATTATTATGGTTGCTTGATTGCACATGTGTTCTATAACTTTTATAGACAGCACCAATAGGAGGGTATGTACTTAGTTTCCGTATCTGAAAAGGGGCAGACCGTAAACACCCAGAACCAATAAGAGGGTATGTACTTAGTTTCTGTATTTGAAAACGGGCAGGCCGTAAACACCCCTCCAAAGATAGAGAAAGTTGTCACCAAATATCCAGATCTTTTGACAAAGCCATCAAGAGTCGTGCTGAGAGAGATTGTCTATGCGATAGAGATTACCCCTAGTAGCAAAGTTTTTAGGGCTAGGATCTATAGTATCTCCTGCAGAGTTAGATGAACTTCGTTGTCAACCGAAAGAGCTAACAAAGAAGGGTTGGATTTCGCCAAGTACGTCCCCCTATTGAGCGCCAGTTCTATTTATCTAAAAAAAACGAGGTACGCTTAGGATATGCACTAATTATAGGGGCCTCAATGTCATTACTGTTAAGAACGTGGAGCCCCTACCTCGCATCAATGACCTCCTGGATAGGATGCAGGGGTGTAAGTACTTCAGCAAGATAGATCTGAAGTCCAGGTACCACCAAATATTGATTAGACCAGAGGATCGACACAAAACATCATTTCAGATCAGGTACGGTTTGTATGAGTTTGTGGTGATGCCTTTTGGCATATCTAATTCTCCGGGTATATTCCAACACACCATGAATAAGATTTTTCACGACTTGTTGGACAAGTTGATCATCGTGTACCTCGATGATATACTTATCTCTAGTAGGACTCTGGAGGAGCGCGCACAACAATTAGATATTATGTTAGG